AGAATTTATGGATTTTAATTCAAAGGTTTGTTAAGCCAGTGATGAGTTGTTAATTTTGTTAGTGAATCAAAGAGGAGGGGTTATGAAACTTGAGTCAGTAGTATAGAAATCGTTGTCTGCATCTGTAGGCAGAAATCATCAGCCGTTAGTAAAAAAATTGGCATTGATGTTGGTTCTATAGCAGCAGATGGAATTAGGGAAATGATGGGGATATCAACGGTGGCATTATTTATCTCATATATTAGAGCTACTTCCTCTGCACTTGTTCCAACGATGGCTTGCACTTGTCCTGTATTAATGAGCTCCATCGCTGCAGTTCATTTAGCAAGAGTAAAATATGTTACATTGCAATCACAAAAGGAGTGGCAAAATTTTTAATGTTCAGACCTTTTCATTTCAGAATATGAAACTAGACCCTTATCATAAATTTCTTGGAAAAAAACTGGGATAATTTTTGCTTTTGAAGTTCTTAATTCCATAGAGAGAAAGAGAAAGGAATATATCCTTATCTAAATCTCTTGGTAAAGAAAGAGATTTTTAATTTCATAGAGAAGTATTTATTCCTTCTGTGCGTGTTGAAGTTTCGATGATAAAAAATTTGGTTCAAGATTGTGCAAGTTAACGGACCAGTATATCCTGGGCTGGGAAGAGGCCCATTACCATTCACTTTCTAAGCCCAAATTAAAAATTAAAGCAAATCATTGAGTGACCCAAGGGCTTGTTTTCATTTAACAGCATCCAACTCTTTGGAGGGAGGTAAATTAGGAAAATCTATTTAACATGACACTTAAAAACTGTCCATAATACCATCATATTATAGTATAGAAATGGGAGCACACTAATCATATCAAATGACCATTGATAATTTATGTAAAATTCATGTGTGTAAATAGACCATGTCTTTGTAATAGAAAATTAGAGACAGACTCGGAATCTATATGTCTAATATTTTGTATTTTCACCATGTTTCTCTATCTAATTTTTTTATTAAATCTTTTAGTTTTTAAAAGTTTTACTAAATTTCAATTAATTAAAAATTAAATTGAATTACACTCCATAAAAAAGTTATTTTCATATTTATTTTTTTATCTATAAAATTCAAGATTAAAAATTCATTTTAAAAAAATTAAATTTTTTCTATTTAAACTAATAAATTTTTTGTGTCATTGTCTAATGTTATTCTTCTCCGTTGGTCGGTATGAGTCTGACAATTAAAGAAAGGGAAAAATGATGCCTGCGGCATCCATGCCCACTGCTAAATCTTAGGAAAAATAAAATAATCCAACTACAAGAAAAAGAGGTTGCTGCTAGGTGTCAGCACATAAAGCTAGACGTCACCTCCTGTTTGGCTCCTGAGAAAGTTGAAATCCCGGAAAAGAATCCAACCAATCAGAATTCAGGAATCGTAGTTTGTTATCTTCACCACGTGTAAGGTCCCAAAAATCAACTGAAAGTTTTGTGAAGAGTGATGGATATGGGGAGGGCTCTTCGATTGGATGAATTCATGGTGCGCACCAAACACCATTTGTACTTCCTGCTCCGGTGATAGTCATCTAATTATTATGTGCGAGGACCACATTAATTGATTCTGATTTCACATTGACCCCCATAATTAAGATCAGAATCAAATCGAAACAGTTGGGAATAGTGCGGTTACTGCAGGCTCTGATCCGGAGGCCGGCTGCCGACCTGTGTGCATGATTAATTTTTGTCTTCTTAAGGCGGAAAATGACGGTCACCAATATGCAAAAGGTTCTTATTTCTTATTTCTTTTTTTTTTTAAAACAAATTTACAAAAAAAAATCGAATTTAAACCGTTGACTAGGGAGAAGGTGCACTTTACGCGGTTTCTACTTCCATTCATTTTTGTTTTTTTGACCAATGAGAAATTGGAAGAAGAAGAAGAAATAATTATAATATTACTGTATTGAGAACTTGAATCTTTGATAAAGAAGTCAAGAGTGTTAATGCACTGTCATTGCGGCTAAAGCCGCAAGTGCTTTTACTTCCATTCATTATTCATTAACAAATAGGAAAAGGTTATCATTCCTAAGTTTTTGAAGTTTATGAATTTGGTAGGGAACAAAATTAAGATATTTTAATAGCATTTTCTTGTTGTGGTTTATTGGTGACCACTGCAGCTCAACAGGATTACCGATGAATTGCACCCCTAATCAATGATCGAATCTTACCAAAGAGTAAGGTACTAATTTTTAATTTTTAACTGCTAATCATTGTCCCTGTAAAAAATATAAAAATAAAAAATTAAGATATTTTAATAAGTAAAATATTATGATTTTTTATAAAATTATTTTAATAATGTTAATGAATTAATATATAAAAAATTTAATATAAAAGAATTTATGAAACTTGTTTAAATAATTTTATAAAGAATTATTATATTAGGTAATGATTAATACATACTCGATTTAACATATTTATTAAAAGAAATTTATCTAAAATTAAATATAAGCGAGTTTAAAAATATAATCATACACATAAAATATAAGAACTAATTGAATCGGTTATGTTTATATCATATTTTTATTGGTTAAACTAGAAATATGTCAAAAAATATATTGAATTGAGTGTGTACCAATTATTTTCTTATTATATTTTAAATGTGAGGATTTTTATTTTCTCTTTGAATTTTTAAAAAGAGTTTGTTGTTTTGCTATTCAAACTATATTAAACTATAAAATAAAAACCTTAAATGAAAAAAAAAAAAACTCTTAACATTAAAAAGTCTACATCTTATATAAAAGTTTATATTTTGTAATTCAATATAATTTAAATTATAAAAAAGTTTTTTTCTTTTTATGAATACACTAATATTTTGCCATGATTGTGGCAAAGTATGTATTAAAGAATGATGTTTTGCAATTCAACAACGTTAAATTGCACAAACTGATTTATTAGCTCACATGACTCTGAGAATGTTTTTACCAATTCACAATACGAAATTCTCCTAACTGAAAAAGAGAAGTTTGCACAGATTGATGTCTAGAGACGTACGTGTAACAAAGTTAGAGAAGATATGGATTAGTCATGGCTGCTAGTGTTGTATCTTTATGTGGAGATAATGAAAGTGTTTTGTCCTTTTGCAAGAAAATGGCCTTGCTCTTGAAGCAAGACCCCACATTCGACAACCTCATCTTCCCTTGAACAATCCACTCCAAACGATTAAAAAGGACTGTGCAACTTTTCTATCTTTTCCCTTCTTTTTTTGGCCATTTTCTACTTTGTCTGAAATGGGTTTGTTGTGGTCAAAACGGATAATTCAGATTCAGTATTTGATTAATTTGATGTGCTGTTTCTCTTTTACTTTTTCGCAAATTTACCTATCATTTTCTAAGCCTCTTATCCTGACTTATTGTTTTGAAGTTCAAACTTCAAAGTCGTAGGATAGCCCTAGCCGCCCACCGACTTTTTTATGAGTTGATATTTCATTAGTAAAGATAGGGACGATGAAAATTTGAGATTAAAAATTTAAAATTAATGATAAGATATAAATTATATTATTATTATTTTATTTTGATTATATAATAAAAAGTAATCATTTTCTTATTTTACCTTTTTTTTTTTATCTCACTTGTATGTTATGTGATTCGAATTAGAATCTTTTACTTTCAA